CAAATTATACTGCTATAAAAACCAAGATATAATTGCTTTTTCTAATGACTTTTGAAAATTCAAAACTATAGCTGTGAAATAAAGCATTGGTAGTTAAAAATGAGACACAGCAGACCAGAGTCATTATGATGACTGTGGAGAAATGTAGTGACATTCTGTTCATTTCAATTTTCATGTTAGTTTGTGTCCTTTTCCTTGCACAATTGAAGGCTGACGCAAGAAATGCAAGTTCATGTATGTCAGAAGAGTAAGGAGCTGAGTCAGTCTCCTGGTGAGCCAGTGTGGGAAAACTTGATTCTGTCCCCCAAAAAGTATGTTTAAAGTTGATTTGATCTCAGTGGTGTAGGGAGAGGCATCATATGAACCTAAACATCTTTTGTAGTAAAAAGTTTGGGCATTGCGCTAATGATAAAATAATTTATTTGAATTGCTATGTTTGTGCTCTGGTTTGTCCTGAACTGAAGCAGGAGAGGTTTGCTTATGTTTAACGTCTGGTTTTTATTTGTTTGTTTTATGGCTATCAGATGAAAAGGTAAGTGTTATGGTAATCAGTTGCAGTTTACTACGAGAAGATGCTGAATGATGCAGTCTGTCTTTCTGTGTATTAAAACAAACAAGGAGTTGAAACAGCAGCTGAAAAATATGTAGATAAAACAATACCAATAAAGTAATGCTTTTCTCTGTGTATACATGTATATATACACATGCATTCACATAAAATTTTAATTTATGTATCTTGTAGCTATAGTAATAACAACGTTAAATTAATATACTTGAAAATTAAGAAAGAATTTTTATTTTACCCGACTCCTGACATCGTGCCTTGCCCACTGGCAAGACAAGATGATTTCTGATTGAAAGCTGAACTTTCTTGTTGTGTGCACACGAATTTGACAGCTGCTAAACTGCTTTCCTTGGTCTCTGGGACATGGAGTATAGGAAACAGTCTTTCCCCTTGGGCTTCTCTTTGTTTGATCTTGAGTGCCTCTACTGTCTGTGCTTTTACCCCATATATATCTACTGGTTCTTCCTTACCTCTGAAAAATTCTTTTCTTCTCCACAGAAACAGACTGATTGCATTCTCCCTTTCTCCCTCAGTTCCTTTATGTCCTGTTGGTCTTTCTTTATGCCTTTCCCTCTCCCTCCTGTTCCTTTCAGAAGTCTTCATATCCCTCCCACATTCACACAGTTGATACCAGATACTACTTCCATCGGGAGTGGAGACCTAAAAATCTTGGCTCCTTCTTTCAGGTGTGACTAATCAAAGATGGAAACATCATCATCCAGTGCCTTGTTGCCAGCTTAAAAGAATTTGCTTGTAATAAACAGTGACCCATTCTGGCTTGCATGAGACACAGACTGCCTCATGGCCTAGAACAGAGAAACATGGGCTTATTTCATAGCTTGCGGAAGGTAACAGATGAGGAAGTTGTAATAGATTAGAATATAACAGCAATATTTCTGTGATCTACAGGATGAAAAAGAAAACGTGTTTTTGACATCATGCTGTATACTGAGTATGTATTCACTGCCAGTGGGACCCTTCCATACTTTTTTTGTTGTGTGACTTCTGTTTTCGTTTGCTGAGGTATGGCTAGATAGACATAGACTCTGTGTTTACTCACCACTTTCACAGCAGAGTGGTACTATTTTATAGTGTGTTTCCTATGCCTCTGGTGTCTGTGGAGCCAATAGGACTGAATTAAGTATCTGCCAAATTGTTATTCACCCTCAAGCTAAGAGCTTTTTTAAATCTAAAGGATGTACTTTAGGTAGACTTATTTGGACCACAGACTAGCATGATTTTCTTTGTTCTTATATGTGAAGCCATACTTTTTTCTTGGGCACCTGACATGGCACCAGCTCCTTTAGAAAGCAATTTTTTAAACAGGGTTTTTGACATGTTACTTCATGTCCCCTAGCTCTTTTGTTCCATACAGCACACTGTGACTGCTTTCCTTCCAGGCATCTTTATGCTGAGTGGACTATGCTGCACCAGAGCTTTTGCCTAACAAGACCTATCTCTGGCCCAGTAGATGATAATTCTTAGGTATAGTGCACCATTACCAAGGCACATAATACAAGACTCACTCAAACATGATGAGATAATCCCACCTTGTTGATGCATATATGGGCATTTCACTTTGTTAGTCTGATGCAGGTACTAGTTCCACTTGGCAGACCAGAGTGTCTCCAGGTCTTAAGCTCCCTTGGAGCTTTGCTCATTAGGGACAATAGCAAAGAGTGCCACTGCTTTTGTGGATATTTTACCTCCTTTGGCTTCCCTCTCTTTTCATCTGGAACCATTCTGCCTTGGAGTTGTTCTAGCCTGATATACTTCTTTGTAAGTGGAGGTGTGGTTCGGTGTTGATGAGAGTTCACTCTTGAGAAAGGAACAGAGTCATTGAAGGGATAACTTGAGTAAGGCCCCTGCTTTCACAGACAGTCATGTCAGGTCATCTCTTTGTTCTTTAAGTGGTTGTACAATATGTAAATTCAGCTCATACCCGAGGTGTCCCTTCATCTCTGCACTGTTAGGTACGTAGTGGATGCAGTTTGTTAGTTTAGTTTACCATGAACTAGTTTGCCATCTTTTGCCTTTGAGAGAAAAGCTGTTATCATGCCTTTGGGTCAGCTTAGGAATCCATTGCTGGAACAATGGACTTTGTAGACATTGCTGAGTCTAGACGTACAGAAAGCTATCTTAAAATAAAAAAGCGAACTTGGCTAGCTAGTTTCTGGATTTCATACTCCAAAAACCTGAACATTATTCTGTGTTGGAAAATAACTATAGAGTTTCTGTTTTTTCTTCTGGATGATGTGTTCTTTAGAAAGAAGACCTTTGAACATGTAAAAGACTGCTGCTTCTGAAACGACTTTACTAACTCAAGAACATTCTAAATTGTGTGAGGTTTTATAAATAGGGTCAGAATCAAGCCCATTAACTCTTCTTAGTTTGACATTGAAATGTTTTCTTGTAACTTTTTCCCTTATGTAAAAATAGTTTTACATCAGTTTCTTTTACTTGCAGACCAGCCACTACAATCTTGAGAAAGTCTTTGGCTCAGAAAAGTAGTTGCTTGGATTGAAATACTGAATTTGTTTTTATCATATCAGCCTTCCCTGATCTGTATCCATTCACCTGCTATTTTAAGTCAGCTTTTGTAACTCTATTTTTCTTCTCATTTCTACTCTACCTAGTTTAATGTAGTTTTGCCTAAATCACTACTAGCTAGTATTGTGTTCATGCACTACTAGACAGTGCACTGTTACAAGAGAAGAATATATACCCAAGTATTTTTTTAAATTTTTTTTTAATGGTTTCCTCTTCTTACATCTTTTACGTTTACCTAGCCACAGAGGAAACCCACAAACAAAAGATATTGTCCCTTCTGTAGCCTCTGTTGGAGGCTTCACAGCTACTGTGTATTGTCAGTAGAATAGGATTTCCCCAAGATAAGTGTATTTGTGTGTAGCTTTCATTCTGTAGGTCTCTGCGCTAGAAATCCTGTTAAAGCTGCACGGTAGTCTCAGGATTTGGCGATTTCAATTCCCTATCTCCCGCAAAGCCACGAGGTGGCAGCAGCATCCCGAAGTTCAGCACGGCTATAACACTAGGCACGGTCGTTGCACAAAAGCATGAAAAAAGGAGAAGGTGGCATTGGGAAATAGGGACGGTCAGGAAAAAAATTGCTTCTGTGCAAAGGGGACGGGGTAAAGGAGGTTTCGGCTTGTCTTGAACCGTAGTTCCATGCATTTTGATGACAAATGTTCGAGGATTCTGCTTTTAAAGGAGAAAAATGCTGAGAAGTTGTTAGTGGAACTCGAGTAAAATATACGTAATTTTTCTTAAATATTATGCCACACAGTTTTATTTGCTGTCTGAAAAGTACAGAGCGTGGCTGATGGAGGTCACTTGTTTTTTTCTTGTGCCTACTGGGATCTCAGTGCAGATCCCAGCATAGTTATGTATGTCATGTGTTGCTTTTATTCCCTAGAGATCCTTGTTAGAGAAATACTGCGTATGAATACTTAGGATGAAGGCCAGAGTCTTGCAGCGAGTGCCAGAAGTGGCACAGCTTTTTTTAGTCAAGATAATTGGATTAAATTTGCTACTGTTCAAAGTGCTATCCCAAGTCCTAGTGTGAATTATGACGGCATATGTGGGACTTGAGAGGCTGTTAGGCCCTGTGCTGGCCCCCCTATGGAGATTAATTTAATTCTTTGTGCAGCAAAATAATGGGAAGGTGCATTGTACAAAGCCCAACTTGCTGCTGCTCTTGGATCTAATAAATGAAGATATCAATAACATACCCAATTTCAGTTAAACAACATGCTGATTAAAAGTCAAAAGAGCTGTAATAAATATTTTCTAATGTAGCAAAATATGATTCAATTTTGTATGCGTCTCACACAATTCCATAATACTTTTTCTTCCCTCCTGTTTTTTTGTTAGTCCTCTAGCTATTTGGCGAAAAGATTTGTGATGTTTATATTACAGAGATACTTGTGTAGCTTATCTCTGAAAAGGCTTTATGTGTACTATTACAGCTTTTAGTATTAATTTTCTTTTCTTTCTCAGGAAAACTGCAAGAAACTTCAACCAACCTATGTGCAAAGCTGCCAAGACAACTGTGGTAGAGGTAGGGAACTGAAACATAGTAAACCCTGTATGCCTTGTTTTGCATGGTATTCTGGGGACAGAGTTCTCCTTTTCTTGACTCATTGGGGGATTTTGTACCAGGGACAGTGGTCTAACGTGTCTCCTTGGGTTGCCTACTCCTAACACTGTGCTCCGTTTTAGTGATTAGTTCACCATGGTTCCTCAGTTTGTTACTGTTCAACTGATCCTGGCCAGGACTCTATGTTCGTTGTGATCAGCCTTTGAAAGGGAAACACAACAACAGCCTTCAAATTTGTTAAATAAAATCATATGTGGATGAAAGAAGACACAGTAGGATTAGGCTGTGTTCGAGAAGATTCACATAAAACCTCATGCAAAACTTCATGATGATAAAGATAAATACATAACAATGTAGACTGGGCAAATCATGGAGCTATTACAGCTGTGGTCTCTAAAATTAAATATATTACATAAATATCAGTGCAGAATGAGATACAGACGTCTGGTTATGGCTTGAGAAAGAGGATGGATTAGATGATATAGAAGTTTCTTCCAATGTTTTTTGTCCTTTTTCATTGTTGTCTAAACCGATAAAGTTTAAAAATATGGAGCAACCTACAGTGGGAATATATTGGTGACTGGCGAATTGCTAAGGCATAGCAGTATCTAAAAGATAGACCACGCTATTAGTTTTTTCATCACACTCTAGCAAGTTTTTTTTATGTGCCTAATAAAAGCTAAATATGATTTTCATAGTAAGATCAAGACAAGCTCTTCTAGTTCATCCTTTTACTAAACTATAAATGGAAGAGGCTTGTGTATCTTCAGGTTTTTCGGTTTTGTTTTTTTTTTTTGTTTGGGGGTTGGGTTTTAGTTTTTTCGTAAAGTCTTATCTGGAAAATATATTTGTTATAAACATCTCTGGATAATACGTTTGAGAACTTGAGTTATTTCTTTGTGTTTTACAGAACTATGGCAAAAAATGCCATAGAACTTGTCACATGACTTAACTGACAATTCAGCAACAGTACATGAATTTTCACAGCTGATTTTCAAGAAAGGCTTAAAATATTTTTCCGTTTAAAAATGAAGAATTTTTCATCTCTCCCTTTTCTTCTAGTCGCTTCTCTTGATAGTTTGTTCAGTCTGGCGTTTAGAGAATTTAAGTAGATCAAAGCCTTCCACCTACATTCCATCTCATTCTCTCTTTCTGCTCTTCTATCCCTGTGTGATAGGGTAGAATTTTCTTGTCAGTGAACAGCAATTATGTGACATCCTTCTTGCTATAATTCCACTTCACAGTGTTTAGTAGATCTGTTGTGAACTGTGTCCATCCACCATGAGTCTTGCTGCATTTTCAATACCATTTAAAAACTGACAAGCTTTTTGCAAGGTGGCATATTAATATTACTTTACAACTCTAGTTTTTTATGGACAAATTACTGATGAAGAAGCGTAACCAGAGATTTAGGACAAATAGATATTTTGAGCCAAATGCATTGCCTTGTTGGCTTAACTTCTAAGTGCCATTCTTCCAAAGTGGAATTCAGAATGTTGTGTTTGGATTTAAGAGTTCAAACCCAGAGAATCAGAAGGAGGTATTTCAATATGACATCCACAGTACTGAACGCTGTCTAGAGCTAATCACTAGGGAACTGAGGCAACTGAAGAGTTTTGCCTGACTCCTTTGTTAATGTTGTTGCAGGCTGAAAGGTGAAATTCTCAATCCCACTTACAGGGAGAAGAAAAAAGTTTGTGTAGGGTAGTAATTCGGATGCACTCTTGGTAGCAGGGGTTTCTGAATTCTGGTATCTGTTCCCAGATCTGTTTCTGGTTTTCACCCACTGACCATTTAACTTAATTAAGCAGACATAGAGATTTGGAGACATCCCTGCTCCTTTCCATCAAACATCCAAAAGCTACAGATCAGACTTGTCTTCAGAGGCATGCAGTAATTAATGGAGATATGCAGTGATTAACTGAGATTTGGAGGATTGTAGTTTCTCAGTCTGGCACTCCCATCCCGATTTTGAAGGTGGAGCTTTGTACCTATTATGCAAGCAGACTTAGCGCTTATATCTGCTTGTCTAGCATGAAACACCAAGCTGAGGCAGGTAACTAGCAAAAATTAGAGGCATATCCCTCTGTGTTTCTGATTTTTGAGTTGCTGAATTTTTTCTTTTAAAATGTGTGCTACAAATACGCAGAAAAAGAGAGTTGTTGATCCTCATAGCTACTCTGATGGGTTATTTATTTCCCTTTTCTGCTTATTTGTACACATCTAGTTTTATCCAGTCCTTTAGAAGTAAACTCTTTCTCAGGAACAGAACTTCATTTGTTAAACTTTATGTCAGAATGATCGATACTAGGCCATTCACTTGTCACTATTAGGATCAGTAAGTACATTCAATCAGAGTATAACTTGAATTTTGGAAGATGGTTTTAATCAGAAAGTTGTCCTGCCTTAATGCAAACAGAACTAGAGATGGAAAACCCATCCTTCTGTTTATGCTTGTTGCAGTGGTTAATCACACTCACTTGTATAAATATGTCTTTTTACTGAAATTGGTTTGGCTTTAGATTCCATCCAGTGCTTTTACACTCTTCTGCTAGATTAAAAACCTTTCTGAAGCTGGCATTTCCTTCCCACTGAGTCACTTCTCGGTGGGGTTGATATGATGAACAGATTGAGGTCTTAATGATTCTAACTGTAAAACATTTTCTTCAGCTCTCATATAATTTTTATGTCCATTTCCTCTGTTTTTTTCTGGAACTACAAATGTGACCAACTGGAATGTCCTCAGCATTGTACTGCCACCACTAAAGTCACCTGAAAAGTAGAGTTACTCTTTGGTCCTGCTGCTTCCTTGTTTGCACACCTGTACTCTGCGAGTCATTATACAGGGGGTCCTACGGCATTAGTTGCTTACACCTTGTTGATCTCTTCCTGGCATACTTCAGGAAAATGTAATCAGTGTTTTCCAACATGCATTCTGTAAGTCTGGCAGGTATGTCTTGATGTCTAACTTTGCATTTTGTTATGAAACATGTTATGTTTCAATAGACCCAGTTTACCTGCTGCATTTGGTACTGACACTTCCTTGTTATGATTTATTATTTCACCAAACTTTCCCTAGATTTATTTTAGTTTCTGGTCATTGGTGAAACTATGGAATGGCACTTGGCATATTAAGATCCATACGAAGGGAAATATCAACTACTGGAAATCCAATCTCAAGATATCTGTGAACTTGGTGAAAGTGGGAAATGCACTGGGAATCAATTGCATTGTTAACCTGTTCCTCTATGTTAACCTGAGGAGAAGTGAAATGTCCTGACAAGCATATACAGTAAAAGACACTTTTTTCTTTGATGTATTAGAGCTGCTATTCTCTAGTTTAAGTCAGTGTGGCATTTTACACTCTCTTAGATGAAGTATCGGCAGACATTTGATTTTTGTAAAAATTCAGAAGTGGGAGAACTTGCCAGCATTTGCAGGTATGGAGGATAAGAGTAGAGACAAAAAAAACCCCACTTCACAAAGCCACAAACTGATAGCTATTGCTTCCTCCCATGTTGTGGGGAGTGAGGCTGGCTGTGCATGGAGAGGCTTCTGAAGGAGGACAAAGTCAGGCTGTACCAGTTATGTCTGTGGAACACATTGGAGAGTTACTGATTTTTAAAATTCCTCTAGAACAAATTTCAGATTAAAGTGTCTGACCCTCTGCCTTGTTTATTTTGACTAGGCAGATGGTCAGAAGTAGCTGTTCAGTACCCTTTTTTGGAATCAGAAATACTTTGATTGTAAACTTCTGATGAGATGCAAGAGGTGTTTACTGACCTGCACAAATATTTTGGACCGTTACATGCATTTATTTTGCTTATCTAAGTGATAGGAAATAGAAATTGCTAACATTCATGATAATAAGGATGTATGTTGAGGCACACATAACTGTAAAGATCCAACTGCACTGAGTCCAGTGGCATTTCTGCTTTAATTTAAACATGACCAGTATTAAGGGTCAAAGATAAGTTTTCAGCTGAATTGAATGATTCCTGTTATTTGCAAGGTAACTGTTGCAGAGTAAGATGTTAAATAATCCAGTATTGGCAGCATTAGTTAGTTGGCTTTATCTATTTGTGAAAGCAAAATGATGCAGAAGTTTATTTGGTTTTTAGTTCTCCTATAGTGTTGCATTTAAAAAAACATTCTTTGTTTGTCTGCTTCTCACTTCATCTTGCAGAACTTTCGGGAGCTAGGTATGCAGTCAGAGCTACAGCTTTATCTCGACCTGAGCCCTCACACATGCACTCAGACTGAGGCTTTCCATTGATTTTCAGATCTGTGAACATTTTCCTGCTCCCATCGCAAAAACAGGAGAGTCAGGAAATCAGCCAATCTAAAAGGAACTCATTGGTAACAAGTTATATACGAGCCACCAGCCCTCGTAAAAGGTGCACAGGAAGGGCATGGCATGTGAAGAAACTTGAGGGCTTGTGTGGTCTTATATATGCAGTAACATTTCCAACACTCAGTCGAATAAAGGACGTGTCTGCTGAATTCAGCAGATGGCAATGCTGTCAGGCCTCTCAAACGACCTGCTGAATTGTGTGATCGGAAATGAAATGTGTAGCAGCTCAGAGTTACAGGGAGCCGGCCTCCTGGATGCATGCCTAGACTGCTAGGGCAAGGTCTGCGACATTAGGACGCTTCCTAAGATGTTCATCTTCCTGTGAGTGGAGCCCCACTGGGAAGAACAGCTTTTGGTGATGGCGCCTCTTTTTTGAAGAGAACTGATGTGACTCAAAGCCACAGAAAAAAACATGGTGTGACCTTGCCAGGTGTGGGTGTCATGACAGCACAGAAGAGCTGAAGGGTGATAGAGGCTTGGGCTCTTGCTCTCTGCCATGGAGGAGTACATAAACATCCATAACAGCCCCTAACATCCCTAAGATGTTGTCTGTTTTCTTGCCATTGTTATTCTCTGCTGTGAGACCTACTGAATACTTGTCCCTGGT